AAAAAAAAAAAAAGCAAAAAAACAGCACAAAAACTCATTGTCGTGGAGTCGATTCCTACTCGGTTGTAGATAGCTACCCCCATTGGGTTTCCGAGGCTTTAAATCTTTAAGGAAGTAGATTGCCCCATCTTCACTGGAGCAGCTGGTGGGTTTGAACCCATGACCTTCTGCTTAGCAGCCAGATGCCTTATCCACTTTGCCACCAGAGCTATAAAGGACTTTTATTTCTTTTGCTTTTAAGCTGTTTTATTACAATTGTTTTCATCTTTGTGATCTGTAAATAGAACTTAAATGTATTGCTTTCTGGGATTACTGCACTTAGAATTGTTGATAACATTCTAGTTCAGATTTGTAACAAAGGCTTCTTAAGAAAAAAAAAAAGCAAGTAACCTATTTTATGACCAGTAGAATAATCTTATTTTCACAAATAACATGTCCCTATAAATAATACACATAGCATACAGGCATACATCAAATTTTGTGAGTTCAGTTCCATATCACTGCAGTAGAATGAATATTGCAATAGCAATAAAGTGAATATTGCTATAAAGTGAGTCACATGAAATTTTTTGTTTCCCATTGCATGTAAAAGTTATGTTTATGCTATATTGTACTCCATTAAATGTGTAATAGCATTATGAAAAAGTTTGAAATACTGTAAGAATTACCAAAATGTGACAAACTGAGTTCATGATGTTGGAAAGATAGACTTGCCTGACACAGGATTTGTAAAACAAGCTGCATATCTGCAAAACGAAATAAAACAAGGGATGCCTGTGTAACGCACATACCACATATAGAAACTAATGCCTGTGAAGGGGTTTTATGGTTTGCAGAACAACCTCCCCCAATAACACACGTGTTATTTGTATCAGAATACACTAAAATTCACATCAGCCATGAAGATAAAATTTCATCACTCATTATGTTCTCTAATGGATGAGAAAATTTAAAAAGCTCAGAGTATACTGTTAAGAAGCTGACGAGAACCAGCTGGCAAAGAAAGGTGCAGATAAATCTGGGAGAATCTGTCATTTGTCATAGGTAGTAAGGCAAAAAAAGTATAAGGCAGTATAAGGAAGTCAACTCAGGCCAGAAGGACTAAGCAGGTCCAACAGACCATGGGCCCTGTGATCTGGGGCAGTGATAAGGGTTTATTCATATTAACAAGTACTTATACTCTGTTGTGGAAGGCATAAAGAGTAAGGTAGGTGCACTACCTTCATTTAAATAAAGGAAATAAGGCAAATAAAATGCCAGTGACTGTGAAATATAGCATGTGATGAGTAGGAATATCCTATGAATAATATATGCAGAGCCTGATAGAAATTGAGGAGAGAAAAATTAGTTTTTAACTTGGGTTATAGAAAGGTTTATGCAGGAGGTGGCACTTGAGCTGGTTCTACAAAGATAAGATTTTGCAATGGGTGGGGTTGTATGCTGTCTGGTTGACTCTGGCTCATAGAGACTCTATACCAAAGGGGGGAAAAAAAAGCAAAACTCACTGCAGTTGAGTCGCATCTGACTCATAGTGATTCTTCCTTGGGTTTCTCAGGTGGTATCACTACAGAAGTAGATTGCCTAACCTTCCTTCCAAGGAGTGGCTGGTGGCTTTGAAACACCACCCTTCTGGTTAGCAGTCAGGTGCCTTAGGTACTACGCCACCAGAACCCCTAAGGACTCTATAGGATAGAATAAACTGCCCCATAGAGTTCCAAGGCTGTAATCTCTATGGAGGAGGCCTGGTAGCACAGTGGTTAAAGTATGTGACTGCTAACTGAAAGGTCATTGGTTTGAACCCACCAGCTGCTCCATGGGAGAAAGATGTGGCAGTCAGCCTCCATAAAGATTTACAGCCTTGAAAGCTATCTGAGGCAGTTCTACTCTGTCCTGTAGGGTTGCTCTGAGTCAGAATTGACTCGACAGCCGTGGGTAATCTTTAGGGAAGCAAACTGCTGCATCTTACTGGCACATCTTTGTTCTTCAGAGTGAATAAAGTGGATTCAAACTGCTGACGTTCATTTAGCAGCCAAGTGCTTAACCACTGAACCAACAGGCCTCCTAGGCAGAGTTAGGGGAATATAAAAGAAGCCTCTAGGAGAAGCCTGCAGGTGGGGAGGAGAAGCACCGTATATTTGTTACTTCTCAAAAGTGGTTCTTTGACCAGCAGCATCAGCATTTTTTGAGAACTTATACCTTCACCTCATACCAACTGAATCCCAAACTGGGGATGGGATCAAGCAGTCTGGGTTTTATAGGTCTTCCAGATGATTCTGATGTAAAAGGTTGAGAGGACTCCCTGGGTCATTTATGGTTAAGGGCTTACTACTAGCCATGACATTGGTGGTTCAAACCGACCCAGAAGTACCTTGGAAGACAAGCCTGGAGATCTGCTTCTGAAAACTCTGTGGAGAAGTTCTGCTGTTTGCACATGGGTCATCATGAGTCAGAATCCACATGGCAAGTAACAGCAACAAAGTTTGAGAGGCACTGTTCAGAGAACAAGGAGCTCTGGTGGTGAGCCAGTAACCAGAAGGTCAGTGGTTCAAACCTACCAGCTGCTCCAGGTAAGAACGATGAGGTGGTCTGCTTCTGTAAAGATTTACAGCCTTGGAAACCTAACGGGTCGCTGTGAGTTGGAATCAACTCGGTGGCAGTGGCTTTGGTTTGATTTTTGTTTAGAGAATAGTAGGACATGTATTTCGTCAATAACTTTTAGTTAAATAGTTGTTAATACATCTAGTACTGACTATACATAAGACATAATTGTTATCTCCAAGGAACTTAATCAAGAGCGGTAAGAAAACAATTATAATGCATTATAATTAATAATATTAGTGTGATAAGTGCTATTAACAGACTAAGCTTGGAGTATTGAAACAACACATGGCAGGAGAGAAACTTGATCCAAACTAGGATTGAGAGGAGAGACTGTCACTGAAAGAAAGCTTCCTGGTTGGGATGATTCCTGTCCTGAGTTGCAGAGGGAGGAGAATTTGCCAGTGGGAAAGATTGCTTCAGATAGTCTTACGTTCAAAACCAAGCCATTGAAAAATCTAAGGTAGCAGCATAGCTGGAGGGTAGGGGGATAGGTTGGAAAGAAAGAGAGTGATCAGGTAGATTGAGGCTTGATCATCGAGGGGCTTACGGATCATATGAAGAGTTATTTTTTTTCCCCTCTGAAGTCCATGTGAAACTATTGTTTCTAAGCAGGAGAAAGTCACTGTTTGATTTACCATTTTAGAGAGATCAGTCTGATGGCAGTATGTTGTTGTTATGTTGTTATTTGCCGTCGAGTCGGCCCCGACTCATAGCGACCCCTCCTTGGGTTTCCGAGGCAGTATCACTACGGAAGTAGGATTGCCCAACCTTCCTT